TGGATGATCTGGTAAACTGGAAAGTGACCTGAGATGACATGATGTGAATTGGAGCTATAGACATAAAAGAAATTGAAATTAAAATCTCTAAAGAGGCTTTTTTTATGCTTAGCTGGGAAAAAAAAAACGTTGAACATTTCGACCGTTGCTAGTTTCCTGAATGTGTTCAAACTTTATTCCTTGTGGCCTTTTTTTATCGTTACTTTGATGCCCTTCTATGAAAACATTTTTATTAAATTAAAGAAAAACAGTGAACTGAAAGGGGAAAATCATTGTATTGTAGATAACCAGACTGAAAGACTGATGTTATTTGAGACTGAGGAAATTTTTTTGATAGAAAACATTTAGCCATAAAAGATGCATTGAGATTTGGAAAATGATTTTATATTTTTAGTCTCAAATACAGTTTTTTGTCCAACCCCATAAAGTTACCACACCAAATAACGTTGTATTCTCATCTTTCCATAATACCTTCTAACTTTTCCAGCTTTATTATTGGAATATAAAAGCCTATGACCTCAGATCACCTCCTCTACCACTAATACCTCCAGCTCTTCCTTTCTATTTACCCTTCTGCTACCGGAGGACCTGCCCCTCACCCGCTGCTCAGTTCCCTTCTCTCTAAGCTGACCTCTCATTGCTGAACATCTGCTCTCTGACCGGGCCTCGCCTAAGACTGTTCACCTCTTCTTCTCCGCGGTTGGACCAACCACCAACGGGTTCTAGTTTCTCTCTGACCATCTGAGCTGTTGTTGGTTCCTGGAACGCTCCTTTAGATCCCAGGCCCGACTACATGCTCCTCATCTTTTGCACAGGAACCCATTAGCCTGTGGGTCTCCTCACGTCCCAGAAGGAGCGGATTCCTGTCTGGGTTCTGCTACACGGATCCAAAGCGGAAACTGAGCGCTATACTTCTGTCTACGGAGCAAAGAGGATGAGTCATCATCTATCATGGGATCTCTCTGAGCCGAAGGTTCCTCCATTTCAGCCGTCCGCCTGAAGGCATCAGCTCTGCTGGGAGGGAGGTTCTGTTTGGGGTCTATCCCAGCATGACTCTCTGTGGCCCTTCATCACCACTTTGGGTTCTCTTCTCTAACGCAGGTTTTCTAGATCATCTGGAATGTTTTAAAAGCTAAAGACAAACTTCTACATCCAGGGATGGTTCATCTGGTCCAGATTAGCTGGAGCCACTCAGAGCCGGGCAGCTATTTCACCAAAAAACAAAACAAAAGCCCATGGTTCCTCTCAGTAGGTCGCTGGTGCCCAGGAATAGCCCAGCCAAACGCCTCCACAGACGTCCTCCAGTTGGAGGACATGGTCCAGTGAGGACTTCATGTCTGAGGAGATCAGAGACTAAGACCTGAGCTGAAGTAAAGGCCTGTGGGGAACCAGGACCCTCTCCTGGGCCCTGCTGAAGGTCTCCTGGATCTGCTCCATCTACAGCCCGTTAGAAGCAGCTCTACCCTGACTCTTCTGCATGTTACCATGGTAACGCTGTGTCATTGTCATGGTCCGGCCCACTGTATGCCGAATGCGGCTGAAGGAACATCAGGGCTGCCTCCGCTGCCCCTCCCTACCTGAACAGCCTTGCTGTGGAAACCAGCAACTCACCATCCTGCGTCAGCGCTGCAGCGAGGAGCAGAAGGAGGGAAAGGATCCTCAGATAAAACTTCATCCTGAGAAAAGTCCGGAACTTTCTGCCGGGTGGAATCCAGCTGCTGTGAGCTCCGAAGCTTTGTGGCCAGCTTTAGCCGGTGTAGGGTTGCAGACTGAGTCAGCGCTGGGTGTGTCAGTGGGAGAGGGGGTTGGTCTGGCTGTCGACGCCCTGACAGAGTCACTGCTGGGAGCTACACACAAGCAGCTGATCACGTGACGCATGTGTTTGATAACCTCAGAACTCAGAGAGCAGGCAGCAGATTCAGGGAACTAAAGTCTGGTTTTAATGTCGAAGCTAAAGCCGGAGCAGAAACTGATGATTGGATCCAGATTCAAACGATTCGTCATCATTTAACCACAAACTTCTCACTTTGTTGGTGTTTTATGACAGAGAAGGAAGCTTAACCCGCCTGCTTCCTGCAGCTTCTTTACAGAACAACAAAGAACAGAGGAGGTTCTGTTTGAAGCAAGTTCTAGAACCATTTCTGTTTTATCTGTTTGGGTCCACTCTGTCCAGGTTCTTCTCATCAATCACTTCTGGTCAATTAAGTTCTACCTGGTTCTGGTTGTCCTGTTGGGTCTCATCTGGAACTGCCAGAGTCTCTGGCAGGATCATGAGGATCCCTGCTGGTTATATTGACCAGCACCGCCCCCTCCTGGTGGCCCGGCAGAGCGGCGCTCTCCCTGCAGTCTCCGCCTGGTTTCTGGTGTCAAAATAGGAGAAGGAGGGGGAGGCTGAGCTGAGGAGTCATGATGGTGGAGAGCTGGATCAGATAAACCTGTCCCCCACTGGTGCTGGAGGTCAGTGGAAGCGGTCTCAAAGCTGCTCTGATTGACAGGTTGGGGAATGTCATGAAGATCCGTCAACATGAAGCTCTGACCTGGAACGTTTTTTGAAATTTAAGCCTTTATTTTACTGAATAATTGCATAAACTTTTCCATAAATAGATTTTGTCTCACAAAGTTTGTCGTTCTACAAATTTCTAAGGTGTCCTCCCCCATGGGGGCTGTGCCCCGCACTGCAATAAGGACACCATCTATAATGTTTCATTGAATAGCTCCAGGGCTGCTCAGTGGTGCAGTGGGTAGCACTGCTGGAGTCTTTCTGCATGGAGTCAGCATGTTCTCCCTGACCATGCGTAGGTTCTCTCCGGGTACTCTGGCTTCCTCCCACAGTCCAAAAACAGGACTGGAAGGTTAATTGACTTAGCTATATTCTCCTTAGGTATGAGTGTGTGTGTGAATGGCTGTTTGTCCTGTTTGTCTCTGTCTTGCCCTGCGATGGACTGGAGACCTGTCCAGGGTGTAACCCTCCTCTCTGTCCATGGTGGACCCCACCTCTCTGACCAGGATGGACCCCTCCTCTCTGTCCAGGATGGACCCCTCCTCTCTGTCCAGGATGGACCCCTCCTCTCTGTCCATGGTGGA